TGTATCGAGAAATAATAAACTGGTTTAATCAAGAAAGGACTTGTATCGCTGAAGTTCCTAGGAAAGAAATTCTACCGGAAATTAACAAACAAGCAGATACGTAACAAAATAAGTTTAAGCAAATCTAACGAAAAAACAAAATTATACACATGTTTTTGATAGAACATCTTGATTCAAGCTGTTAAATGCTTTTTTAAAATCAATGTATATAACATTAACTTGATCTTCCTCATCTATAATAGTAGTTAAAACATATTGTGTAGCCTCATTCCCAGTGGCACAGTGGTATGTCTGCGGACTTACACTACTAAAAACAGAGTATACTGGTGGTGGACATAGCACAGATAGTCCATTGTGTAGCTTTGTGATTAACTACAAACAAACAAATAATAATAAAAAATAACGTATTGTTTAAATTTAAAAGATTAGATACAGTATATCTAAATGCATATTTAAATTTTGAAATGATACTGACGGACATGACTAAATATTTGATTGTATAATACTCGCTCAAATATTTTAGCAGGACATAAAAATATTGCTATTTGACTATAATTATTCATGAGATTTTTATCAATATATTTATAAATTGGCGTAATTTAAGCAATTATCCACATCTTATGAAATATATTGTTAAAAACAGATATGTTGAACATTTTAAATAATGCTATTTGTAGTATTTCAGAAAATACCTTGAATATCTATAAGATAATAAATTCAGGACCTGATTACTTTTTCAGATGAACTGATTAATTCGAGAGTAATGCTGGTAATATTCAGAATATCGGCAATATTCAGTGTGTCCATATAATCAACATTGCACTCAAGATCTTCTTGGTTATAGATTAAGTAGAAAAAATATCTGCTATTTTTCAATGCTAAAACTTATGAGTTAAAGCAAAGATGAATATGTAATATGTCAGCCACATTACATCTGCTATGTCCAGTGGCAACGAGGGCTTTTGTCCAATAACAGAAGTTATCAAGCCGGCTGGGATACAACAGGCATAGTAGTGGTCGAGGCAATATTTTCATCATCAATTTTAGTACCTGTCTGTATAGACAGCACCATTAGAATACATTGGCCTTACATTGTTATTATATGACATTTTAGATATTATATATGACCAAAATGCTTTAACATGCTCTAATAATATTGTTCCAGAACGCAAATAAGTTAAATTTATATCATGTTTAATAATCTAGTGTAAGAACGTAAAGGGTTCATTATGATGATTGCATCCTTACCAAAACTGAACATATTTTTTAATTTATTTTCTGTAATATACTGTTACGTCTCTGATCGTTAGTTAATTTTCCGTATAATTTCTTTCTGAAATCCTTTCTTAAATAAAACTGGTTTATTCTTTTTAAATACAACTTTGCAATGCACTTAATTTCCACGGTCACGCTATAACAAACTCTATAATTCACAACGAACGTTTCACTTGCTCAACAATACGTCTCTCTTTGTCCGCAGTTCAATTACACATTGTTGCCGTCACGTCCTGACCGTCTTATATGTACAAGAATACCGAAATCTAGCAACCTCCCGAGGTTTCATGAACGTTCTAGAAGTGCATGACGTGTTACTAGCGTCACGTAACCTCCGCTGTCGTAACAATACTTTATTTTTTATTTCACTTATTTTCTCCTCTGTAAATCAAAAAAACGACATTCATTATTTGCACTGCGTGTTTTTCAAAGGACTCTATCATTTGAAACATTAGTTATACTTTTATATAATTATTCTGCAGTTTCATTAATATTACTTGAAAAGTATGGCCAATCAGTTTCTCCCATCCAGTGATACGTAACATCAAAATTAACTTTTTTTAAGTCAAGGGTACTATAAGCGATTAGCTGGACTTAATTTGGTAACTACAGTTAAAATACGTACATGTACATTTAATGCTATTTATTTCACGAACTTCACATTTCAAACGCATATACGAGCAGATTTAGTTTATGTTACGACCTGAAGTTATATTTCGTGTAATGTTAGAGGTTCAACTATAGAAAGCTCTTAATTTTTTTTATTTCAAAGCTAAACACCGTCAGCTGTTATTATTATGAAATAACAGAAACTCTAAAGTTCTTTAAAGAGAAAAGTATCACAAAAAACTGTTGGCAAGTAAGTTTATTTTAGGATAACCAACAAACAGAAGTCGTCTTCAACGAAAGCAGTAGAACTTGAAGCTATTTATAGGTCGGCCCTTATAGGCTCCAAGAACGAAGTAAGAGGATGTTCACATCTACGACGTTCAGAGGTCTCAGTTAATTAGGTTTGAGTGATTTAAAAACTCTGTCATATATATTCAAAGAGCATATTTAACTCTAAGCCCATAACTTGGTAAATCGGTAACATAACGATTTGTAGAAGCCAAGTGTAGCTTCGATAATTTCCCGATGTGTAAGATGTGGTGGATGTACGGCACATTTCTGCTCTGGGTTTCCATATGTAGGTATCATTATCAACTTACGTAGCAGTAAGCAGCTTTTATATTTTTGTTTTCAATATCTAACTGGAATCTTTAAACCCTTCAATTCTTTGATAACGAGGCTGATCATTTTTGAAACGAAACCTTTTACTAAAGCTATTTTTAGTAATTAAGTTAAACACTAACAGTCCTCGTGGTTATGTAGTCAACTGAACTATGCAGTGAAATAATTCATTATTTAGAACATAAAGCGAGTACATAATGTAATCGCTATACTTCTAATATAACTAAACAAATTGAACAAATATTACTACAAAAAGACTTTCCATGTGCTATTCGAAACCTTTTTTTAATAGTTTTTTTTATTTTTATAATGAATGTACACTGCAAAAAGTTTGAAATGTTAAAATTGGCTGGAAAGTAATTGGAAGCCAACCAAAAAACCTGAACCAAAGAAAAACTATAACAACTGTACAGAAGGGAGGAAAAGGTCTACCTGAACCTGACCCTCCCAGGTCGTAAAAACGACCTAAATCCCGATCCGGAGAAGAGAGAGAGAGTAATTGGAAACCGAAACTTCAACGGAATTTAGAATTATTCATATCACTTAAAAATAATTTCGGAATTTTGCAAGTGTTGTACCAAAACCTTCTAACTAATTTCTCTCATCATGATATAGCAACAAATTTGGCTTAAATACATTATGATTTTAAGGCACAGGATTTTAGTGTAAGATTGATGGCACTGTGAAAATTTATCTTTAGATTAAAAATTGTATATAGATATAATAATATTAGATTCTTATTGTCATGTAGTTCTGTCCTAATATTTTAAAGTAAACGTTAAAATCATTTTTTGGGTTATAAATAGTTGTATAGATGCCTATAGTTTGTTAGCTAATGTTGGAAATTATAACGATTATCGAAATGTTTTAAGAATTTCGTATATGGTGAAGCTTTGAATTATAATGCTATAAGGAATTAGATTTGTTAATTATTAACCATTTTATATTTATTTTTAAATAGAATACTTGTGATTTGGCCACTCAGTGGCACAGCAGTTTGTCTGCGGATTTACCACACGGGAAACCGGGTTTCGATACTCGCGGTGGGCAGAGCACAGATAGCCCATTGTGTAACGTTGTGCTTAACTACAAACAAACTTGTGATTTTTGTTTAATAATTGTATAATGCTATCGCCTAATATGGTTAAATATGTGAATTAAGGATCAACAAATAGCTTTTTATTTGGTAAACCCAGTTTAACAATGTAAATGTATATAAATTATAAAGAGCAGTATTGTTTCCCAGTTAATATTTGGGTTGGCTCTTATTACAAACTCTGGCGGTGAGAGTGTAAAATTCATGGTCTATCTGGCACAACGCTTTTCAACCAATCACTGATAAACATAGATTGTTTGTAATATAATTCTACATCTTGCATTGCTACATTCACTTTTAAATCGCTTGATCTTTGTTCAATGTATCAGCGCTGTATGCTGTGTTGGCACTTACATCTACATTGTATGAACTTTCTTCTATGTCTGTTACATAATATAGTTAGTGGCGGATTAACGAGAGGGCAGATGTGGCTGCTGCCCAGGGTCCCTGAGGCAAATGGGGGCCCCAAAAAATTTCAGTCTAGGATACTGTATGTAAAGTGTTGTTGAAAAACAAAGAATTATTAGATAGGGAAAATGTTTCTTTTAAATGGGGAGTACTATTTTAAATTTTATCATAGTTGTGAGTAGATAATTTTTTCGAGCAAGATTTGTGTTTTTAAAATACGATCAACAATTAATAATGTACATATTCAAAAAATGGATTGTAATTATAAATATACACATATCTGTAGACGAAGGTGTATATTTAACTGTGAAGTAACACTTGTCTTGTAGAACAAAAACAATATCCATGAGGTGGCCTCATATTATTCACTCTCCTGGGGCCTCGAGGTGTCTTAATCCGCCACTGAATATAGTACTGGTTAGTACTTTATTGTTAGCAAAAGGAACTTGGCTTTTTTCCCTCTGATTTCTAACATTATCATATTCACATAACAAGTTTGTTTTGATTTGAATTTCTCACAAAGCTAGTCAAGGGATATCTGTGCTAGCTGTCCTTAATTTAGCAGTGATAGACTAGAGGGAAGACAGCTAATCAACACCGCCCGCCGGCGATTGTTTTATCAACGAATATTGGGATTGACTGCACATTATGAGGCCACTACGGCAGAAAGAGCGAGCATATTCGTTGATGAAGACTCTCACATAACAATGCCTCGTTTTTCACATTTACTGTCTAACGTTGTTATATTCATATAATTAAGTCTCGTTTTCTTCTTCTTGTTTTCTTTTTTCAGTGTAAAGCTGTACAATGAGCTATCTGCACTGTGCCCAACGCAATGATCTATCTTCGAATTTTAAGATTACAATTATTAAATAATGAAGTAAAATAATGATCTCATGAACTTTTATTTACGTTATTGGGATAGTTATGCAAAGTAAAAAAACTACTTGTTTAACTGTTTATATTGTATCAATGATTACTTTTTTTATAGTTGTTCAACCTTTTGAAGTTCAATACTCAGGAGAGGATGTTGTACAAGAGGGTTCATCATTTTCTATTGGATGCGTTATATCAAAACATGACAGTGCGCGGTGGACAAAAAATAGGGTTAAAATCTCTTCAGATGATGATTACATATTTAATGAAGAAGTGGATGAGGATAACAACGTCCATTTAACTCTTAAGGTGGAATCTGCCAAGTCTGATCATTCGGGCGATTACAGATGCAGTAGGTTTAGCGCTGCATCTCACCACGTTGAAGTCGTGTCAGGTAGGCAGCCTTCACCTTAAATGTTTTCCTTTATCAAAATTTAAGAAAAGTTAACATAATATTCTAAGTTTATGTAACTTATTTATTTTTAAAATATACATCAGGCTTATAAAAAATCTTTCGAATGGGTAAACGCGTAAAACATTTCCGCAAGACAGTATAATTTGATGATTTAGTCGTAGTGTTTGTAACACGCTTTACTATTATTCATATTATTAATGGTTCAATCGTAGTATCTGTAACATGCACTACTATTATCTATATTATTGATGGTTCAATTGTCGTATTTGTAACATGCACTACTATTATTCATATTATTGATGGTTTAATCGCAGTATTTGTAATATGTAATAGTATCATCTTTGAAGAAAATTTTTAACAAGGAGATAATGCACTCTTTTTGAGTGAATTTTCCATAATGTATTTGCTTTAAGTTCAGTGTTAAGAGCATTATATTCTAGAAAGGCATATACTGATTATATAATCTTAAGGGGTATGCGATTTTCCGTTATCACTTTATCAGGACATTATAGTTCCAGTAATGTTAGTGTACATCATACCTATTTGGGATATCATTTCACTGGGATATCATATATGATGTAACCGTGTATTCTGCTTATATAATGAGCTTTCTTAAGTAATGCAAGAGAAAACACCATAAATATGCCACCCTTATTAAAAATGACTTTGAAAAGATATGTATACGACATACTATATTTCGACAAATTCAATTTTTAATCTAGTTACGGACATTTTGGTAATACCATAAATCATATCAACAATAATAACTGTAATAGCACTACAAACATGTTATACTGCTGTAATTTGAGTGTTAAATATTCAAAATTTCAAATAAACCTGTTTTTGAAAAAGTTTAATGAAATATACAACCTTAGGTGAAACCATTGAACAATTGGGACTGGCTGCTTTGAATTTTCACATGACGCTAAAAAGTATAAAACTTAAACATTTCACCCATATTGGACGGGTAATGAAACCATCGATCAGGTCTTGAACGGCAAGATTTTTTTTATGTAATTTATTTTATTAGGACTATAGCTTTCAGCTTTCCCGTATTTCGTGAGAGACTATCTTGTAATACTTATTACTGTATCATACTTTTATAATTCAATGAATGTACAAGAGCGAGTTTATAATTATTTGTTGTTAAACTAATTTTAAAAAGAAATAAAATTATCTTTATTTCGAAGGTTTAATGCTGGACTGGTATGTAGAACTGAAGTACTTATGTTACAAAAAGTAGCAGAAGAATTAAATTAAAACTAATTGGATGCTGACATTTAATAAAAATACAAACTGAAATGAGAAAGATACTTAACTGAAAATATGTCAGCAAAGAAGAAGGTGGGATTAACAGAAAGACAAGAATTCTTGATCAGAAGAAAACACAAATGCGGGTTTCGTAATGTTGTCTTTATTAATAATGTTCATATATATCTTCTGATGATAACCATCAGTTTCTGAAAACTCTTCACATCATGCTGAAGTAAGGTGCTGATTAAACAGGATATGGTATTTATCTGATATATATACCAAAATCATCATACTAATGTAAACCCTGCAGATGAAACTAAATTGATTTTGTCAAATAGCCACGATCGATATTTATTTATTCATTTATTTATTTGAAATATATATATATATTTAGATCTAGGCATTAATATGTCAGAAAATAAAGTGCAGTTGGACATATTTGATAAAAGAAGATAATTTAAAATTTCTATCCTAGGATTTTCTTCCACAAAAAGTGTGGTGTCACATACAATGTTAAATTGTATCGTTACGTATCTGCTTGTTTGTTTGTTTCCGGTAGAAATTCCTTTACGAGGATCTTCAGCGATACAAGTCCTTTCTTGATTAAATCAGTTTATTCTTCCTCGATGCACACTTTTAGTACACAGTAGTTCCACAATCAGTACGTTTC